CATTATATTTCTTACTTCTTGAAGGGCTTTTGAATGTGCAATTTGCCGGAGCATTTATGATAATTTTGCTGACTTTGAAATGCATGAAAGTGCATGCACTGGAGCCGTACAACCAAAGGTGGACCCTCTAGACACAAATACTTCTGTTGACGACATGTATTCTCCAATAAAGTTCGAGGTTGCTCATCTGGACACTCATGAGATAATTATTGAGACAACCCGATAAATCTACAGAATAAAAACAGGGAAATGTTTAGCTATTTGTACAACGATTTAGGGGTGGGGGCGGAGGGGGAGGTGGTGTGGGCCCCACAAATCCCCCCGAAACGAAAGAGGATTAACGCCGCTTTATGACGCCGCCCCAGTGATGTAACCTTGGGAAAGGATGAGGTAACTAGAATTCCCTTTCTGTGGGGTAAATCTGGGGCTGCCGCCCCAGTGATGTCTATTTTGGTGTTTTATAAAAATATCTTGTATATAAAAATGTATATACAAATTTATAACAAAAATTTGCAACAAATACCATATTTCCAACCGACATTATTGTTAAATTAGTGCACAGATTTAGTAAATTAAATTTTTGTAATAACCCTGCAAACCAAAGTTCCCGATACCTTAAGGAAATCGTTAGGAGTATCTCATTTCTGTAACGATTTTTTTCCGAATTTTCAAAGAAAATTATATGAAGTGGTTGACACGAACTCGTAAAGAAATTTCTGTAAGATATTCTTCACATAGCATTATTTTCGTTGCTTCACAGATTTTCTTCCGAAATTTCGTAAAAGAATGGAAGTGTGCGTAATTTATTTCATTTTAGAAAATTCGGGAAAAATCCAGTTAAATCTTAACGAATTCTTTAAAATTTCTTTACAATGCAGAATACTCTGAAAAAATGGTTTGCAGGGAAAGCATGAACTGTGGTCTACAAGTGTGTGTAAAAGTTTTTTGATTCGATTCACGCGGTCTTGCACAGCAACCCAAAATCGTTGTACAAATTCATAAACAGTACCCTAAAAACATGTTTAATGTAAAAAAAAATTAACTTACGTCTTGGGCTATACGTATAACAATAAACAAACAATATCTAATAATGAAAAATGTGTTATAATAACTCATATACTTGTATGCGGAAAATATTGAAAAAACTATATGCTTTCTGGATAAGCAAAGAATCTTAAAATGGCATTGAGTTAGGCGTATTCAAATATTAAAAAACATCTTTAATGTAAGTACAACTCTGTTCGAAAAAATAGAAGTGACTTATAATAAAAACATTTAGATTTTTTTTTATTTTAAAAACAACTGCTAGTAAAACTTTGGTGCCATGTGGTAGCCCTAAATACCGCACCACTGAATTTATACCATGTTCTGACCGCNTGTACAAATTCATAAACAGTACCCTAAAAACATGTTTAATGTAAAAAAAATTAACTTACGTCTTGGGCTATACGTATAACAATAAACAAACAATATCTAATAATGAAAAATGTATTATAATAACTCATATACTTGTATGCGGAAAATATTGAAAAACCTATATGCTTTCTGGATAAGCAAAGAATCTTAAGATGGCATTGAGTTAGGCGTATTCAAATATTAAAAAACATCTTTAATGTAAGTACAATTCTGTTCGAAAAAATAGAAGTGACTTATAACAAAAACATTTAGATTTTTTTAAATTTTAAAAACAACTGCTAGTAAAACTTTGGTGCCATGTGGTAGCCCTAAATACCGCACCACTGAATTTATACCATGTTCTGACCGANTTTAAAATTTCTTTACAATGCAGAATACTCTGAAATAATGGTTTGCAGGGAAAGNATGTTTAATGTAAAAAAAATTAACTTACGTCTTGGGCTATACGTATAACAATAAACAAACAATATCTAATAATGAAAAATGTATTATAATAACTCATATACTTGTATGCGGAAAATATTGAAAAACCTATATGCTTTCTGGATAAGCAAAGAATCTTAAGATGGCATTGAGTTAGGCGTATTCAAATATTAAAAAACATCTTTAATGTAAGTACAATTCTGTTCGAAAAAATAGAAGTGACTTATAACAAAAACATTTAGATTTTTTTAAATTTTAAAAACAACTGCTAGTAAAACTTTGGTGCCATGTGGTAGCCCTAAATACCGCACCACTGAATTTATACCATGTTCTGACCGACAACGAAAACACCTTGACAACGAGTTTTGAGATTGTGGGCTGAAGGCTGTTCACTCCGATTGTTGGTGTTTTCGTTGACATTTCTTACATCCTTTGTTTACAGTTTCGCTACACAAAAACAAAACCAAAATACTTTTCCTTCAATTTATTTTCATTAACAACCTTTTACTTCAATGCTTACTTTATTTTGGCCAGCCATTTAACAATAAATCCAAAATTACGTATTAAAGATGAGAAAATATGACTTCCACTTCGATAAATAATCGAAAAAAACTAGTGCAGACACCGATTGGAATGAGTGGAACGTGAGTTTTCAAGTGGTTTTCAGCGAAAACTAGTTTTCGTTTGACAGATTTTACATGGACGAAAACACAAGTTTTAGGTCGAAAACCAGTTTTACCAACGAAAACATGTTTTCGATGTCGGTCAGAACTTGGTATTATACTTCAAAGTGAAAGTACATAACGTTCATTGCGTCGCCGTCACCGTCACCGGCAGTTGTCAAAAAAGTTGATTCGGTATATTTGTATGAAGTAATACCATGTTCTGACCGGCAACGAAAACACTTTGAAAACGAGTTTTGGAATTGTAGGCTGAAGGCTGTTCACACCGGCTGTTAGTGTTTTCGTTGACATTTCTTACATCCTCTGATTGCAGTTTTGCTACACAGAAACAAAACCAAAATGCTTTTCCCACATTTTCTCTTCATTAGCAACCTCTTTCTTTCATTCTTATTTTAGTTTGGCCAGCCAATTAACAATAAATACGAAATAGCGTATTAAAGATGAGAAAATACGACTTCCACTTCGATAAATAATCGAAAAAAACGTCGGTCAGAACATGGTATAAGTTACATGAACAAGCTGACGGTGACGGTGCCGCACAAATTAGCTCAACTCTCAATTTTGCTTATGCGATTGCGACAAATGACAACTATTCAGTGTTTTGTTTACACGTTTCAACGTAAATTTTTCCAGTTTGTGAAATTTTCAATATTTATAGAAACACGAAATGTAAAAAGTAATGGAGGAAACCCTAATACAAATAGTGAAAAAGTAAAATGCTAATTTTGGAAAGAGTATCAGCGAGTTAATGATTTTTCGGGCGCAATGTCAAACGAATGGTGTTGACTCATAAGCATCGTTGACGGTGATGACGGTGATGGTGACGGTCTCAGTATATCCAGTAAAAAAAAATTTGGTGAAGTCCTTTATGGGGATAAAGTTTCCAGAGGTGAAATTTTAGGTAGCATACAATTTCTTACCCGCATGGTTGCTTTTCAGCACCAACGCAAGAAACTTAAAAAATATTTAAAAAAAAATATGCGTATAGTGCATTAATTTTTGAAAGAAATACCATATAATGTATATACTCTGATTAATAATATGAAAAAATGGATTAGAACCACCGTTTAATGTTATATTTGATGCAAATTAATTTTGCCACTCGGGACGCTCTGCGCATTGCCACTGAATAATAGGTTTACTTAAATCCTTACATCCCTGGTCCTTCTTCTTTCTGTATTGCATCGTGGTGAATTCACATTTCTCAGAAATTTGACAACAAAACAAAACGAAGTGAGTATTTTGTTTCCTAATTTTTTCGATTTCTATTGTTTAATGTAAATTTTATGTCTTTTTAGGATATGTTGAGGCAAAAAAGAAGGCGCAGTTGGAAAATGAAGTGATTAGTACGAAGTAGCAGCGCAGGCACATTTGGAAAATTAAGCCGATAAGCAAGATAGAATTTGGGAAAGTGAGTGCCTGGGGCATAAATGCAGTTGGGCTCCAAATCTCGAATTAAAAAAAAAAATATTGGAATCGATAGAGATGATTGATGATTTTTTATAAAAATGTACGTTTTTCTTGAACTTCAGGCAATCGGAGCACCCTTTAGCCCGGTTGACAATCAGCTGACTTTGACATACAAATTTTTGATTGATAAACAAGTCTTGCGGCGGTATACTTTTTATAAATCGCAAATTACCACTAAAATGACGAGATTAGAGAATGACGGAAAATCGGA